GCAAGATCAAGTCAGTCAGATCTCTTTCACTGTCATAATTTTCTCACAGTTTTAATTTTTGCAAAGACAATTCCACTGTGTGAAGAACAAACTGTATGGGTTGAGAGTGAAAGCAAGGAGACCAGTGACAAGGCAACTGCAATAATCCAGGAGGGAGATGATAGTGACTTGGATCGGGGCTGGTGGTAGCAGTACTGGCAGTGAAATATGATGGAATTCTGGATAATTTTGAAGACGAGGCCGACAAAATTCACTGAAGGACTGGCTGTAAGGTGAGAGTGAATGGGGAAAGCAGAGGATGATTCCTGTGATAAATGGCTTGACCTACTGGAAGGCCAGTGTTGCCATCTACTGAGATGAAGAAGGCTATGGACAAAGTGGTGGAAGTGGGAATCAATTACTAGGTCCTTTCCTCCCTAGGGAGGTGGCTATAAGAAGAGGAACAACAATAGTATGAGGAAATGGTATTTTGGCTGCTTCATGCCAATGGCCTATTCCATCTGCAGTCTGTCTCTGTCAATGGCTCAGTGGCATCCTCTAAAATGGCAACCTCATGAACCTGGAAATGGAAAATCCCAATCACCCACATTTATTTAGGATTACCATCTCATTTATTTAGATCCTACTTGAAAAATATTTTTCTTTTCCTTTAATGAGTTTTATAAATTTGCTACTTGATGTTCTGTAGCACTTTCTTCTACTTAAAAATTTCTTCTGGGCACAGTGACTCACACCTGTAATCCCAGGACTTTGTGAGGCATGCGTGCAGTTTCAGCCACTCAGGAGGCTGAGGTGGGAGGATTTTTTGAGCCCAGGAGGCAGAGGTTGCAGTGAGCCGAGATCTCGCTACTGCACTCCGGCCTGGGCAAGAGTGAGACCCTCACTCAAAAAAAAATTTTGTTTGCACCATTTTTAAGGTTAGAGTGCATTCCTTATTTCTATGATTCTTGGATATCATGAATCTATGTTGTCCTAGGCATGCCCTTATTTTATTTTATTAAAAAAAATTTTTGGCCAGGCAAGGTGGCTCACACCTGTAATCCCAGGACCTCGGGAGGCCAAGGCAGGCAGATCACTTGAGCCCAGGAGTTTATCAGCCTTGGCAACATGGCAAAATCCTCTCTAATAATACCAAAACAATTAGCCGGGCATGGTGATATGCACCTATAGTCCCAGCTACCAGGGAGGCTGGGGTGGGAGGATCACCTGAGCCTGGAAGACAAGAAGCTGCAGTGAAACCCTGTCTCAATCAATCAATCAATCGAGATGCAGTCTCGCTATGTTTCTCAGGCTGGCTGGCCTCAAGTGATGCTCCCACCTCGGCCTCCCAAAGTGCTGGAATTATAGGCATGAGCCATGGTGCTGGGCCTCTTCCTTATTTTAGGTTTTGACATTATTCTTCTCAATATCTATTTACAATCATTTCTGATTAACAGTTTGTGTATACTGTATATATTATCTCATTTAATTCTCACAAAGCCTGTGAGATAGCTAATACAGAAACCACCCTAATTTTATGGATAAGAAAAACAGGCTGGGCATGGTGGCTCAAGCCTGTATCCTCAGCATACTAAGAGGTTGAGGCGGAAGGAACATTTGAGGGGCCTGGGAAATATAGGGAGACACTGTCTTTAAAAAAAATGTGAAAATTTTATCCGGGCATGGTGGCACATGCCTGTGGTCCTAGCTATTCGGGACACTGAGGTGACAGGATTGCCCTTTTAAAGCAGAGAGGTGAAGGCTGCAGTGAGCCGAGATCCTACCACTGCACTCCAGCCTGGGTGGCAGAGCAAGACCCTGCCTCAAAAAAAAAAAAAAAAAAAAAAAGAAAAAGAAAAGAAAAGAAAAACAAAGAGAACTTGAATTAGTGACAAAATCAGAGCTCAAATATATCTCCTGACTCGGTATGTTTTCTATTGACCACTTTCTTTCTTATTTCCTCATTTCCTTCATTGTATTTGTCCTTCTCTGACTCTTTTAATTTGGTTTTATCCTTAATATTAGATGCCAGAGCTACTTGCCATTTTCTCTAGGAAGATTTTTTAAATAAGGACAAGAAAAGACCTCATAATTTTATGACTTATTTCAAATAGTTTTCCTGACAATGGTCAAAAATTTTTTCAGGCTATTTTGTTTAATTTGTTTTAGGAATTGCAGGAACAGCAGGATTAATGTTTTAATAAAATGGTTTACAATGGCTACTTAGTTTTCTGGTCATTCTCTTGACTACATCAATTATAATATAATCGAATACATCAATTACAATCTAAGTTATTAAGTTAATCTAAGTTATTTCCCTCTAAATTAGCTTACATTTGTATAAAATAAAGTTAATTTCCTATGTTTCTGTCTACTTGCACAACCATGTGAAAATTTCCTGTAGGTCTTCTTTGGCATTAAATTATCCATGAGTGCTTATATTACCTCCATAATAATTAAGCTGTTGGAATTTCTAATAAAGGATAATTTCATTGGCCAAGGCAAGTGATTTTTCGGAGCAAACATAATGAAATCTAAATACTCTCTGAAAGTCTTTTGAGTGTGATAAATACATATTCAAGTCAAGCGAGAAACAATCAGATTTTTCAAAAGGTCTTTCATAAAGTGTCACACCAAAAATTAGCAACAAAATTAAAAAAAAATCACCACAGCATGGAAGAACAGTTTGTCATGTCAGGTCGTGGAATTACAGATAGAAGATAAATAGTCAGTGTAAATTGGCTTATTTTGACAGATACAATCAAAATAATTTTTTCTATAAATGATTTGACCAAGTTGGTAGAGATGTCTCTAAATTATTATGCCATGCTACAGTTTCTCTTTCTTGTTTCTTTGGAATTCCTCTTGTAGTGTGGATTAACTGCCTGACTTCCTGGAATTCTTCTTAGCGTAGTCTTTTCATTTGTTTTCACACAACTGAACTTTCTCCTTCCTATACTCCAGACTTTCTTGCCTTATTTCACTCTATTCCCTGTTCTTGGAAGGTCTTTATCTCTTAAAAGTTAAGCTTGTAGTGCTTGCTTTGGCAGCACATATACTAAAATTGGAACCATACAGAGAAGATTAGCACGAACTCTGTGCAAGGATGACACACAAATTCGTGAAGTATTCCATGTTTTTAAAAATTAAAAAAAAAAAAAAAGCGTTTAAAGCTTGGGATGGTGGTTGGCACCTGTAGTCCCAGCTACTGGGGAGGCTGAAGCAGGAGGATCATGTAAGTTCAGGTGTTCAAGGCTGCTATGCACAATGATGGAGTCTGTGAATAGCCACAGCACTTGGGCCTGGGCAACATAGTGAGGCCACTTCTTTTTAAAAAAAAAAAAAAAAAGTTAAGCTTTTAGAAGGCCTTTTTGATTTACCAGCCAAACTGCTCTCTCATTGATTCCACAACACTGAATTATCTTTTTTAAAAATTTATTTTAAAAACCTTTTTATTTTGCTCCCTCCCACTCCCCTCCCCCTTTCCCTCCCCTCCTCTTCTCTTTTCTTTTTCTTTCTTTTTTTTGAGACAGAGTCTCGCTCAGCCGCCCAGGCTGGAGTGCAGTGGCGCGATCTCGACTCATTGCAGCCACCCTCTCCCGGATTCAAGCGATTCTCCTTGCCTCAGCCTCCCAAGTAGCTGGGATTACAGGCGCCCGCCATCATGCCGGCTAATTTTTGTATTTTAGTAGGGACAGGGTTTCACCATGTTGGCCAGGCTGGTCTTGAACTCCTGACCTCAGTTGATACGCCTGCCTCAACCTCCTAAAATGCTAGGATTACAGGCGTGAGCCACTGCGCCCGGCCTTCTCTTTTTTTTTTTTTTTTTTTTTGAGACGGCGTCTGGCTCTGTCACCCAGGCTGGAGTGCAGTGGCGCGATCTCGGCTCACTGCAAGCTCCGCCTCCCGGGTTCCCGCCATTCTCCTGCCTCAGCCTCCGTTGTAGCTGGGACTACAGGCGCCCGCCACCGCGCCCGGCTAATTTTTTGTATTTTTAGTAGAGACGGGGTTTCACCGTGGTCTCATCTCCTGACGTTGTGATCCGCCCGCCTCGGTCTCCCAAAGTGCTGGGATTACAGGCGTGAGCCACGGCGCCTGGCCTTCTTTTCTTTTTCTTTCTTTTTTTTCTTTTTTTGAGAAGGGACTCACTGTCTCCCAGGCAGGAGTGCAGTGGCACAATCCCAGCTCACTGCAGCCTCCACCTCCGGGACGCAACCCCACCTCGGCCTCCCTGGTAACTATGACGACAGGGCGCAGGCCACCATGCCCAGTTAATTTTTGTATTTTTTGCAGAGACAGGATCTCGCTATGTGGCCCAGACTAGTCTCAAACTCCCGGGCTCAAGCAATTCTCCTGCCTTGGCTTCCCAGGCATGAGCCACCTAGCCTGGTCTGTAGTATCTTTTCTGTAATTCATCTCGCTTACTGGATTGCCAGCCTCTTCTGGAGAGCAATTTGTACTCCTAATTCGCTTATTATAGTATCTCAAAGCATGTATTGTTTAATCAAATGAGGGCTGATCAATGAGAAGTTACCCTTCGGATACGCTGTCCCATGACTTCTCCGTCCACCAACAGTCCTTCTTAGGCCCTTGGCTTTCCCATGCCACTTACACATTCTTTCAAAACATTTGAGTGCGTACCATTTATATTACTGAAATACGAAAAGGGAAAACGGTACGCACACATTTCAGGTACTCGTCAAAGATGAGTTGGACGCTGGAGGTAAAATAAAAAATGGGCCTACCATTTAGGGAGGTGTGACGAAGTGACATCACTATTGCGTTAAAACCCGAGGGCCCACTGGGTCACCTCCATTTTATTCAGGTTTCGGAATCTCGGTCATGTGAGCTAACTTAAAAGTCTCAAGAGTGGTTACCTGCCCACCCGTCATAATCACTTCCCAATTCCTTGAAAACTTCGGGTTCCTAGGCCGCCAGCGCCGGGCGGAGAATCACCCTCCCTCCGGCTGCCCAGACTGGAGATGCCCGTTCCGTTCCGCCCCGCCCCACTGCATGCTGGGAGTCGTAGTCCCGGCTGACAGCGTCCGTAAGGACGGGAGGGCACGGGAGTGCAGCCCGCCCATCTGGCTACTGGAGGTCACGTTCCCTAACTGATCCCTTGGTTCTGTCGGGTGGAGCCTTCAGCGTGTACGGCAAGATTTGACTTTGCCACCGTCTCTCTCGGGTTTCAATAAAGTTTTCCTCTTCCTCTCCTCGTACGGAATTCAAGATGGCGGCCTCCTGGTCGCTCTTGGTTACCTTGCGCCCCTTAGCACAGAGCCCGCTGAGAGGGAGATGTGTTGGGTGCGGGGCCCGGGCCGCCGCTCTCGCTCCTCTGGTCACCGCCCCTGGGAAGCCCCTTTGGAAAGGTCAGTGACTGTGCCATGAGTAGTCCGAGCCGACTGCATATGACTGGAGGAGGCTCTGGGGTCACCCTCCCTGTCCGATCTACCCCAGGTGTCTCCTGCTTTCACGAAGCTAAGGGCTCCTCGAGAGGTGTTTCCATTTCTCTTCACCTTTTATACTGTCTGTGAATGAGCCCTGAGCACTGAGGGAAATAACCCTGAGTGACTTTCATTTTGAGGGTCAGAGGTCGACTCAGAGTTTCTTCCCTTCGGGACATTTAGAGAGCTGAGCCCAGTGGGAGTGCCTGGCTTGCAGTGATGCAGGTGTGGGGTTGGGGTCTGGGGACCCCTACCCTCTGCGTTTTCCAGGCTCTCGGGGCTGATGACTTACGGGCACTGGAGGAAGAGCCGCGCCTGGGACCTCTGCAGGCCCTGCTGTCTCTCGTGATTCTGGGAAAGAAGGTCCACACGCATTCTCAGATTTAGGGATCGATTCTTGGTGTTCTTTTAAAGTCACTAGAGGCTTCAGTGGAATTATTTTGTCACCGGGCTTTCCTTCTCCCTGGCTTCCTTCATTCAGTTGTTATATGTTCGTGAATGAATGAATGTATCTTCTGAGTAACCAAGTCAAGAGTGCCAGTTTTACTGCTCTATTCATATACTCGCACTAAACTGCACGTTTTTCAAAGGCAAGGACATTGTGTCATTGTTTCCTAAGCACTTAGCGCAATGAGTGGTACCTGATATGCAAATATGATTTTTGAATGAATGAATGAAATTATTCTCATTGTCTCCCTGATCCACATACTTGTTTTCCTTTTTCTCAAATTCAAGCAACCCCTGTAATATACCTTAATAGATTGATGACCTTAATAAAGTATATACCTTAATAAATAGATTCTTATTGATTAATTTAGCTAAAAATATGACAATCTTTGACCCTTATCATCAATGCAGTTGAAATTAATACTAGAACTTTGATTACATGACCTTACGTTTTTATCGAAAGATTAGCATAATGCACTTAGTATAATGGAATAGGCTCCACACACTGCCTAGGGGGTAGCCCTGATCTGTTGGAGTAGTCATTATAAATAAATAAATAAATAAATGTATAATGGAATATTCTGGTAGTGTAAGCTGTGGATTATAATATGAATTTTATTTTTCATTTTTCGTAGTCAATAAAAGCAAATGGTATAAATTTCAACAGGTGCAAGAAAGAATATGGCAAAATGTAAGGCTTTCTTCTATCCCTATCCCTTAGCTGCTTAATTTTTCTCCTCAGAGGCAATCTCTGATACTAGTTTCTTATGTATTCTTCCAGATACATTCTGCGTATGTACAAGCATATACATATAGAGATAACTGTTTTAAAAAAATAGAAGTAGTAACATGCTGTACACATTGTTTTGTGTATACAGCAGTTAATTCTGTTAATTGTTAATTTCTTTTTAAATTTAGTAGCTTGGAGATCATTCCATATCAATACCATATCAATTTCATATTAATAGAACTGCCTTGTGTTTTAAGTTTTAAAAATAGTATTCCATTCTATGTATATACCATGATTTATGAACATTAAGATTTAAGGAGCATCATTATAACATATAAAATTCACAGAATGCTTATTCTGTGTCATACAATATGCTAAGTACTTTCTGCGTACATTATCTTATTATTCCTCATTATCCTCATTTGGAGATCACGAATCCAAGGTTGCTGAAGATATATGGCTAGTAAGTGTCAGAACTTCTGAATTCAAATAAAGGCTGTACTATTAATCTGTACTTATATTTTCTGGAATATACAAAATTTAGCCAGTTCTGGGTGTGAAGATTAGATGAAAATGCAGTTAGGTTAGAGGTCCATTTAATTGTATCTAAGGATGCTCCCTTCCCCTCTTTATTTTTATTTTGTGTATATATATATATTTTTGAGATGAAGCCTTGCTCTGTCTCCTAGACTGGGGTGCAATGGCATGATCTCGGCTCACTGCAACCTCCACCTCCTGGATTCAAGCAATTCTCCCTGCCTCAGCCTGGGTGGGCGCCTCAGATCACAGATGTCAACCACCACTGGCTAATTTTTGTATTTTTAGTAGAGATGGGGTTTCACCATGTTGGCCAGACTGGTTTCAAACTCCTGACCTCAGGTGATCCACCAGTCTCGGTCCCCCAAAGTGCTGGGATTACAGGCGTTAGCCACAGCGCCCTGCCCCCATCTTTAAATAAAAGGAAAATTTTAGTTGAAATTTTGTTCAGTATTCGGAGTCTGATTTACAAATCTATTTTCTATCCCTTTCCTGATTTTATTTTTTATTTATTTTATTATTTTTTTTGAGATGGAGTCTCGCTCTGTCGCCCAGGCTGGAGTGCAGTGGCACTATCTTGGCTCACTGCAAGCTCTGCCTCATGCGTTCACGCCATTCTCCTGCCTCAGCCTCCCAAGTAGCTGGGATCACAGGGGCCCGCACCCACGCCCGGCTAATTTTTTGTATTTTTAGTAGAGACGGGGTTTCACCGTGTTAGCCAGGATCGTCTCGATCTCCTGACCTCGTGATCCACCGCCTCGGCCTCCCAAAGTGCTGGGATTATAGGCGTGAGCCACTGCGCCCGGCCCTTTCCTGATTTTTTTGGGGGGTAATTTATTGTTTATATTTCTATTTTATCTTCATTTTTCATCTTTTGAAGTCTACTATTTAGTACAGTGTAATGTGGCCGGGCATGGTGGCTCTCGCCTGTAATCTGGGGACTTTGGGATTCTGAGGGGGGAGGATCACTTGAGCTAAGGAGTTTGAGACCAGCCTGGGCAACATGGTAAAACCCCCTCTCTAAAAACATACAAAACTTAGCTGGGTGTGGTGGTGCACGCCTGTAGTCCCAGCTATTTGGGGGCTGAGGTGGGAGGATCACTTGAGCCCAGGAAGTCGAGGCTGCAGTGAGCTGAGAGAGATGGTGTCACTGCACTCCAGGCTGGGTGACAAAATGAGACCCTGTCTCAAAAAAAAAAAAAAAAAAAAAGAAGGAAAAGTGAATGAAACTGAGTTCCAGTCCTTGAGTTCCAGCCCTTGAATAGCCCATAGCCTTGAAAGGCAGATGATATTATGGTAGCCAGCATTTGATGAGCCCCTTCTGTGTTCTAGGCATTTTGCTAGCAGTTTCTGTTTCATAATTTAATCTTCATAAAACCCTATAAAAATTGTTGTCTTTATTTTATAGATTAATAAACAGGGATGGTCACCCAAGTTGGATTTTTTTTTTTCTTTTTCTTTTTTTTTAAAAGTGAGCAGCAGCAAGATTTACTGTGAAAAGCAAAAGAATAAAGCTTCCACAGTGTGGAAGGGGACCTGAGTGGGTTGCCCCCCAACTTGGATTTTAAACCCAGTTTTTTGCTTCAGAGTCACAAACTTAACTGCTATTTATAATAGTTTTTTAATGTAACAATGAACATTAATAACACATTGTACCATGATCTAAGCCTGTTTAAAGTGTTATAAGACTACAGAGGAGGAAACAGCTCTGCTTGGAGAGGGGAGGTTTTTTTTTTTTTGACACAGAGTCTTGCTCTGTCACCCAGGCTGTAGTGCAATGGCGTGATCTCGGCTCACTGCAACCTCTGCCTCCCAGGTTCCAGTGATTCTCCTGCCTCAGCCTCCTGAGTAGCTAGAATTACAGGCGTCCACCACCACACCTGACTAATTTTCATATTTTTAGTAGAGAGGGGGTTTCAACGTGTTGGTCAGGCTGGTCTCAAACTACTGACCTCAGGTGATCCGCCCATCTCGGCCTCCCAAAGTGTTGGGATTACAGGTGTGAGCCACTGCGCCTGGCCAGATTTTTTATTTCTAGCAAAAGTATGGATGTGAGCTGTACATGGCCCTTATTGGTTTATGGTCTCTGAGAGAGCAGCTAGAGATGAAGCTGTAAAGGTGGGCTGATGTGGTTGAGAAGAGTCTCTTACAGTATGTTAAGATGTCTAAGCTCAGTGGGACACTAGTGGAAGTTTCTTAGGAATAGAAGTGATCAGATCTGTTTTAGCGTGATTGTTCTTGTGGCCACCTGAAAAACAGATCAGAAATGCCTGGATGGGAGAATACTGGAAGCTGGGTGATTATTTAGGAGGAAGTTGAAGTAGACAGAGTATTAGGGAGTGGTTTAGGGGCTGAATTACTGCTGTGGTGAAGGAGAGCAGGGCAGCAGAGGGAGGGAATTCAGAGACACTTCTTTGATAGAATTAATATACTTGGCCAGGCACAGTGGCTTATGCCTGTAATCCCAGCACTTTGGGAGGCTGAGGCTGGTGGATCACCTGAGGTCAGGAGTTCGAGACCAGTCTGGCCAACATGGTGAAACCTCGTCTCTACTAAAAATACAAAAATTAGCTGGGCATGGTGGTGCATGCCTGTAATCCCAGCTACTTGGGAGGCTGAGGCAGGAGAATCGCTTGAATCCAGGAGGCGGAGGTTGCAGTGAGCCAATATCACACCACTGTGCTCCAGCCTAGGGGACAGAGCAAGACTCCGTCTCAAAATATAAAATAAAATAACATAAATAAAATAAAATAAAATAAAATAAAATAAAATAAAACTTGGACATACTTAGAGGAGACAGGGAAAGGAAGGAGTGAAGGTAAATTTAGGTTTCCTATTGCAGGTGACATAATAAGTAAAAAGTAAAACAATAAAAAAGCAATTTAGGTTTCTGAGTTTGGGCAATTTAATCAAAAGAAACAAAACAAAAACGAAACAAAATGGTAGGGCCAAAGGATTTTAGAGGGAGATTCAGTTTGGGGCTTGTTAAATTTGAGGCATTTTTTTATAGTTCCAGGTAAATAAGTCTAGTTAGTTGTAGGACACTTGGGGATCTGAGATTAAGAAAGAAAATATGAGGTATTGGGAGCCATGAAAATAGAAGAATGAGCCTGGGAATATATATGTAGGATGAAATGAGCCTGTGGCTTGTGCCTGAAATCCCAGCTACTCATGAGGCCAAAGCAGGAGGATTGCTTGAGGCCAGGAGTTT